GCTAAGATTAATTTATTATTGAAAAAAGAATTTTACATACATTTAGTGGAGCCTAAATGTTCAATGTTTATAAGATCTACACTAGTGTATGGTTTTGCTCTAGGCTTTTACATCCACTCATCACTCCATCATTGACTTACCCAAAGCAGTTCTGGTCCTCAGATTCCATTGATGGTCAGTGCCCTATACAGGTGCATCTCATCTTTGTTGTTTTTCTTTAAGTAGATTTTCGATTTACATCAAGTGTTGTAAAAACAGAGAGACTATTTTTTGACTTTCTATGCAATATTTTTACTGTACCCTATGTTTAGATATTTTAAATACACAGGTACTTACTCTTGTGTTACTCTTGCCTACGGTATTCAGTACTGTAACATGCTGTACAAGTTTGTAGCCCAGGAGCAATAGACTGTATTATACAGCCTACATATATAATAGGCTTTACCAGCTAGGTTTGTGTAAGCACCCTCTGTGATGTTCTCACAATGATGTAATCACATGATATTACAGTTTGGATCTGGTGTGTGTCCTAAAGGCTCATGTGTTGAAGGCTTAGTCCCCAGTACACAGATGAAGATTTGGGGAAGTGATTAGATCTCTAGGGCTCTGACCATTGAAGGATTCATACCTTAGTGGACTATTGGGAGGTGGTGGAAACTGGAGGAGGAGGAATCTATTTGGATGGTATGGTTCCTTGGGGGCATACCCTTAGGGACTATACCTGACCCTTTCCTTTCTTTCTGCTTCTCAGCTGCTATTTTATGAGCAGCTTACCTCTTCCACACCCTTCCACCATGATGTTTCTGCCTTGGAGCCAGCTGACAAAGGACTGAAACCATAAGTCAAAATAAACCTTTCCTCTTCTAAGGTGTTTTTCTCAGATTATTTTGTCAAGTTGACAAAAAGCTGACTAACACCACTGACAACACATCCAAGAACATATTCAGACTCTTGTTAATTGATGCATGACTGTAGATGAAAGAACGCTCAATATATTAATCATCAGGAAAATGTAAATTAAAATCACCATGAGGAATCACTTAACACTTGTTGGAATGGCTGTTATCAGAAGGACAAAGGATAAGGAGTACTAACAGGGATATGGAGAAAAGAGAATGTTTGCAACCCTTGTTCATGGGAATGTAAATAGGATAGCCAATGTAGGTTCCTCAAAAAATTAAAATAGAACTTCTATATTATCCAGCAATTCCACTGGTGTTTATCATACATCCAAAGAAAAATGAAACTAGAATGTCTAAAATCTATTTGCACTCCCATATTCATTGTAGCATTGTTTCTAATCATCAATATATGGAACCAATCTGAGACTTTATCAACAGATGAATGGATAAATAAAATGTGCTATATATTCATAATGGAATACCATGCAACCTTGAAAAAGAAGGAAATACAGTCACTTTTGACAACATGAATGAATCTGGAGGACATGCTAAGTGAAATAAGCCAGACACAAAAAGAAAAAATGCCACATGAACTTTGTTACAGGAAGAGTCTAAAAAAGTCAAACTCAGAAAAGAGTAGAATGGCAATTATGGGGTCTGTGGTGGGTTGCAGGGGATGAGAGATTGGTGAGATGTTAGTCAATACAAAATTTGTTAAGTAAGTTAAAGAAATCTATTGTGTGCAAGAGTAGATTCTAAGTGTTCTCACCACAAAAAAAAATATATGTGATGTAATTCATATGTTAGCTTGATTAGCCATTCCAATGTATACATACTGTATTTCATAACATTATGTTGTATAGTGTAAATATATACTATTTTTGTTTGTCAAGTAAAAGTAAATTTCTTAAAAACTATTGGTTCTACCTAGGATATATATACATATATTTTAATTTTAAAGCTTTTATCCCAGCCATGTGAAATATTCTGTTAATCCTAATTGCTGTCCAAAAACATAACAACAGTGATATTTATTTTTGTGAAGTCAGAATTCTTGACTTCCTCCCCTTTTTTTTTAGCCCAAGAGCAACAGAATATATTATGTAGCGTAGGTGTGTAGTAGGCTATACCATCTAGGTTTGTGTAGGTTTATTTTATGCTTCCTTATACCGGCTTATTATGTCTTTTGATTCTTCCTTAACTAAATTAATTATAGTTCATTGGTTAACTTTCTGAACCTCAGTTTCTTTATCTATAAAAGAAGGATAATGATTCCCAACTTGCAGAGATTTTTGTGTGGATTACAATATGGTAGAAGCTTAATTAGCGGTAGATAATTACATCTTTGGAAAGATATAACTTTATTTACTGTTATTATTTTACTGTCCTACATTATCATTGTTATGATAACAGGTAGGCAAATATTTTTTGTATTTAGTAATTACACCCCTGTTGTTTTTTCTCTTTCCATATTTTTATTGGTACATTGTAGTTTTACATAATCATGGGATTTCTTGTTATAAATTCATACATGCACACACAGTATAACAATATAATTTGGTCAGTAGCACTCCGTACACACCCCTTATTGTTTTCTGATTGTGAATTCTAACAGATTAGGTTTAAGGTTTGTATGTTTTGTCTTTTTTATGATTAGTGTTGTCATGAGAATATTATCTTTTTTGTTTTCTTTTAAGTAGATTTTCGTATTTACATCAAGTGTTATAATAACAGTGATACTACTTTTGACTTACATCCATGTTCTTTCCTATTCAAATTGCCATTTTGGTGGACATCAGACATAAAGATTATTAAATCCTTAGAGTTAAACTATTTTTCTCTTGGCATGTCGTACCATAAAGGTGAACTAAATCTTAACTTTAGACAACAGCTAATCATTTCGCTCTTATCAAAATCCTAAAGTCACTTTTCCATCTTGTTGTTGTTCTTTTGGATGGTACTTTTATCATGAAAGCCAAGAGAGGAACTTCTTTCAAAGGAGCTTCTTTGAGGGTTTTGGTAATCAGGGATGTCAAGATTAATAACTCCACTATGTTGTTGGATTTTCATGAGTTTCAGAAAATCTTTAAAAGTTACATTACTTAACAAATGTATAAAGTACTTCAATATATACATTTGCGTAGTTTTGTGAATTAAAAAAAAAGCTGTTTCTCTTTGTTTACTTGAAGTAGGAAGGGTTCATTTATAAAACTGTGAAGTAATCATACCACAACCCTCTTTTGAACAGAAACTAAGGAAAATAAATTGTAAAAATTTGTCATCAGAATGTTTTGATTTAGGGCTGCCATTGACAAATGATAGAACCCTGTGAAAAGACTTTGCTATTTAAATATGATATTATCGATCATCCTTATTTTCATTTTCTCTCCTCATACCTACACTTAAATATGTATATGCACAGTATCATTATCTTTACCATTGTAGGCATAAAGGAAAATTGAAACCTTTAAGGTTTTATTCTTTATAAAACTTTACACTACGGGCATTAATACTAAGATGAAGAATTATTTTAAGTTTAATGATCTCATTTGAATTTTGAAAGAATTGTGATTTATTATACTTGTTAACATATACATCATGATTTTTGATGTACATATTTTGGACATTATTAATCAAGAGCAGATTGGTGATGTAATTGATGGAGGATGTTGTGTTTTATTCTGTCATTGTATGTGCAGGTAGTCATCAATTTTTGGATCATGGACAGCATATAGCACAGCTGCTTTTGTGAAATCATTGTGGTTCTTTGACTATATGCTTCAGGACCTTTTATTGTCTCCTGCATATAAGAGAATATAAACTAGATATCTTTAGTCTCAGAAAGAGAACTGGTTGAAATAGATAAGTACACAAGTGCTTTTATTTAAGTTTTCTTTTAAAAACTTGTTAAAAATAAGTTTATGATTTGAAGGCAGAGTGCTTACTAATGAAGCATCCTTTTTTAAAAAAAAATTCAGGATTCTCATTCTGATATTAATATAACTAATTCTTAAGTTATTAAGTAGAGGTGTTATAGAGTTTTCCTTTGTTAATATTAACTTACTCTGTTAAAATGGAAAAGAATCTAGAATTAAGAAAATTAGGATTAGATCTTGATAATGATAATTTTGTATATATATGCTTTCCTGTGAATATGTTCTTTTCATAAGATATACAATCACCATTGTATGAATATGCATTTTAAGTATCTGAGGTGAGGATTCTGTCTTCTTATATTTTATTTCTTCACAATACTAGATGATTTGATGTCTTCTGAAAGCATTTTCTTCTTAATAAGCTTAATATTATGATAAAATCTGTACATTCTGCAAAATTAAACCTATTAATATTATCAAAACTATAGTTAGTTTTATGGGGAGTATTAATGAGAAATTGTTAAACTACCTTTATTTCTTGAACTATTTAAACATAGTTAATTAAGTAGTATGATTGTGTTAAATAGGTAGTAAAAGTAAAAACTTTCACTGAGTGATCATAACTTCTTTTAATTTCTTTTTTTAAAAAAACAACTTTGTATCTTTCTGAAATTTCCTTATTTCAGTCTTTATTTCTGACTCACTTGTAAGTGTCTTTCTAGCAGAAGAAAAGCTTGATCCTTAGGACTTTCAAATTTAACAACCAGTATTTCCATATCATGCAATTAAGTAGAAGAAGTGTCATTAGCCAATAGCATTACTGAGGTCAAACAGCTTCAAGAAGTCAGGGGTACTCCATTGATAACTGTTGCAAAAGAACTCATACTATTTCTTTTAAACCATTTTTTTTTTGCTTATTCTTCTAAAAGGGAAGAAAGTTTAATGTTCATTCTTTGTCGGGTTTGCTAATGTTAAAAAGGTAGTTCTATAGTGATAGAAATTAAAAAAGCAAATGGAAATAAGTAGTTGGGACAGCCATTTAACTTTAGTCTCTTTGGTACATACAGTGTAAAAAAATGTGGTATGTTCATTTTAAAGGGTTCTGAAAAATTGCTAACAAATATTAAACTCTAAATAAATAGCAATAATACCAGTCTTTGCACTGACATTCTTATTTAATTTGTGTTCATAAATTCTCTGATAGCTTTTGCTTATCTCGCAGTGTTTGATGACGGTGATGAGAGAACATTGAGGCGTACATCACTTTGTTTGAAAGGAGAGAGACATTTTGCAGAGAGTGAGGTAGGGTGACAGGGATGGACTTTTGGGGTTTAACAATAGCTATTGGTCTAGAGGTAAAATGTGAATTTAATTCATCTATTTCTTATCCAGACACTTGACCAGCTTCCATTAACAAATCCAGAGCATTTTGGAACTCCAGTAATAGCAAAGAAAACCAATAGAGGAAGAAGGTCCTCACTTCCAGTGTAAGTTTTTCATATTTGGGTATCTTAGTTATAGTTAGTACCACATTAAACAGGTTATTTTCCCAGTATGGCTACATTTGATTGGGTAACCTGGATAACCTTTTTTCAACATCTTGTGTCCTTATGTTAGACATTTTATTTTGAGTAGACCTTATCCTTAATTATTCTCATTACTTTGCCCTCAGATTATCATAACTCCATTTTCAGAAAGGCTACATTTGTTTTAAATTACTTTGCCCAAATCCTTAATCTTAATGATGAGTTCCCTTTCGTAATGGAGTATATGTATTTCTTTTACCTTTTTATTTTCAAAATTTTTCACACTTAAAAATTGAAAGAATAATATAATGAAAACTGGGCATGATGGCTCACTTCTGTCATTCCAGCTATTCAAGAGGCTAAGACAGGAAGATGAGGCCAGGCTGGCAACTTAGTGAAACTCTGTCTCAAAGTAAAATTTTAAAAATGACTGGGATGCTGGGTGCAGTGATGCAGCACTGTAATCCCAGCCGCTCAGGAAACTGAGGCAGAAGGATTGCAAGTTCAAAACCAGTCTCAGCGACTTAGCAAAGCCCTAAGTAATTTAGGAAGACCCTGTCTCTAAATAAAATATAAAAGGGGCTGGGGATGTGGCTCAAGCGGTAGCGCGCTCGCCTGGCATGCGTGCAGCCCGGGTTCGATCCTCAGCACCACATACAAACAAAGATGTTGTGTCCGCCGAAAACTGAAAAATAAAATATTAAAAAAAATTATCAAAATAAATAAATAAAATATAAAAAAGGACTGGGGATGTGGCTCACTGGTTAAGCATCCCGGCGTTCAGTCCTTGATTCTTAAAAAAAAAAGCGGGGGCTAAGGCTGTAACTCACTGGGATTACTTGCCTATCACGTGCAAGGGTTCAATTCCCAGTCCTGCCAAAAAATAAAAAGTAATAATAGTAGTAATGCAGTGAACTTTTATGTACTTTTCATTGGTTTCACCAATTTTTAATGTTTTTGGGGGCACATTTTGCTTTATATTCTTCTCTTTTCACATATGTTGTTATACTTAATTCTGCCCATTGTCCTAATAGTAGTTTTTATGACATCCCTTCCCTTTTCCCTCTGATTCTAGGATATAATCCAAAATCATACACTGTATTTTTTTGGGAAGTACTGGGGATTGAACTGAAGGTTTCATTCATGCTTAGCAAGGACTCTACCACTGAACTACAACTCCAGACCTTTTTTTTTTTTTTATTTGTAGATGGACACGATATGTTTATTTAATTTATATATTTTTATGTGGTGCTTGATTGAACCTAGGGCTTCACACATATGAGTCAAGCGTTCTACCACTGAGCCACAGCCCCAGTCCCAGATCTTTTTTTTTTTTTTTTTTTTTAAGTTTCGAGATAGGTTCTTACTAAATTGCTTAGGCTGGCCTCAAACTTGAAATCTTCCTTCTTCAGCCTCCTGAGTGCCTGGTTTTATACACAGGTGTCATCAACCTGTCTATATGGTTCTTAAATGCCCTTTAATCTGGAAAAGTCCTTTGACCTTTTTTGTTTTATATAACCCTGACATTTTTGAAGAATATAGGCAAGTTTTAATAGACTGTTAATCAATATGGGTTTGCACAATAGTTTTTTCATCATTATATTCAGGTTGTATATTTTTGACAGTTATACTATGTAAATGATTCTGAGTTGTTTTCAGTGCTGGTGCATTTATAAGTATATGTTATCAGTTTTTCCCATAATTGGTGATATTAACTTTGATCACCTACTTGAGGTGCTGTCTACCAAATTTCTCAACTTTCAAATTAATCATAGTTTACCATTTTCCCCTTTGTAACTCATGAATCTGTGTGATGATACTTTAAAATTATTTAAATACTGTGTTCTTTTTTTTTTTATACTTATTTTTCAGTTGTTCACAATATCTTTATTTATTTTTATGTGGTGCTGAGGATCGAACTCACGTCCTCACTTGTGCTAGGCGAGCATTCTACCACTGAGCCACAACCCCAGCCCTACTGTGTTCTTTATCAAACTTTCAGTGGTCTTTGTTATTCGATAATTTTTGCCTATTACTATAATACCAAAATGGTGATTTTTTAAAAATTTTTTTGTGTGTTTGCTACATTTCTTAGCTATCATGTAACTACAGTAAAAATCTTTTCCTTATCACTATGGACTCATGAATTTTAATTTTACTTAATGGGTTATGATTCACTGTTTAAAAATTAATTTTGATGCTCAAGCTGTCCCAGTTTTAGCCAGCAGGAGCCTCTCTGTGCCCTTTCAACATATCCTCACCATTTCTTGAGCATTTTGTCACTTTCTGGCATGACAAAGTATCTTAGCCTCATGTTATTTTTTTCCTGCCTCAACTCTGGAATTGGCCATTTCTCCAGGGACCCTTGTATCTTTTAGTGGAAAATAGTAGTTAGAAACCAAGACCCAAGTATAAGACTCAAGTATCAGATGTACTTATTGCTGCTAGGAGAGGGTGGGGAGGTTTTATAGTGAAGATTTTAAAAGGCAAAGTCAGTAATGCTTCAGTTGAAAACCAGAAAGTAATAGAAGATCTTTGGGGTCCCTAAGTGGAGGTATCCATTCCACTACTTCCTAGATATGTTAGTTTGGAGAAATTATTTCACCTCTGTGAAATTAAGTACATTTACATATATTTACTCTAGTGTTCACAAAACTTGCAAGATACTATTCTTGGTTCATAACTGAGAAAAATGGAAATGATAATGCATTGGCCAGTTTGGAGGAAGTTAGATAATATATATACATTTTCCATGTATAATAAGAACTTGGTGTATTACATGTATTCAATAAATCATTAATATCTAAATATTTTATTCTTAGGTTAGTCTCTTAGACTTTTATTGAAATCTTGCTCACACTTATTTTATCTATGCTTTTAAAAAGTTGAGTCATCTGGTTTCTCAAAAGTGCAGGAGATTTGGAGAAGCAAATAGAGGTGTTAGAAGAAGATAAAAAAGATTGATCGATACAGACAATAAAGAAAGCAGTGTTGAGTTTGACATCTATGAAGAGGAAAAGAAGGAATGAAACCATAACAGGATAAGGAACTGAATGAATTTGAACCACTTAATAAGAATTAATGGTTTTGTATACCTGTAGTAAACTCCAGCCATATCAATGTAATGCAGGATGTTTTTAAGATATCAAATTATTCAATAACTCAAATGGGAGTACATATACATTTTTATTAAAAAAGAGATAATAGGCTTATAATTAATACATACTGATTACACTTTAGGATAAACTTTTGTTATCCAGATAAGTTACATAGATAAACTTTCATCTCTGTTTTCCTGAGATATTTTCATAGATGGTTAGAAAACTAAAATTTATTATCTGACCTCTGGCATTAAAAAACAGAAATGCAATCTTCAAAAATGTAAGTACTTAATGGTGGTGTAGTTAGCCTTTTCTGTCCCAGATGGTGGCTTCTATGAGGACCTACTTGATACAGTGAAGTGGGCTCAGTTACCATAGACAGCTCAGGGATGACTTGTGTGCAGCTAAGAAAGTATCTATCTCCTCAGTTCCAATAGGAATAGAGAGTCTACTACATTATGTGCTGAATTCAACATACTAAATTCACACCACTTTGATTGTGTTGAATAATGATTTATGTTAGCATAATGATCAGGTTATTCTAACTTGTAGTACTGAAGATGAAAAGGAAGAAGAAAGTAGTGAAGAGGAAGATGAAGATAAGCAACGTCTCAATGACGAATTATTAGGAAAAGTTGTTTGTGTGGTATCTACAGTTGAGAGGACTGAATGGTATCCTGCTCTGGTAAGTAAGGTTTCTTTGCACAGTTTATCAACCATATAAATATTTATTTAGAATAGATTTTTTTAAAAGCTTTTGAAATATTGTGAAAGCATTACACAAATTTAATATGGTGCAGATTTAAAACCTGAGCAGTCATCCAGGTCTACAAAAATCTTATTTCACTGTTGTCCTTTATTATTCCCTTTTTTTCATTCTCATTTACTGGAACGTTTCAGTTCTTGCCTCAAAATATGTCCAGTGGCCTCTCTATCCATTTTTGTACCTTCAGGTTCCTTTAGCTTGATTCCTGAATTCTTTTTTTACTAAATTCAGACTACTTTTCTACTTTTAAAGTTAGTTACAATCTTTTTTTAAATAGTGATTTAACCATGATAATCCTATTCTCAAAAATAAACCTTCAGTCAGGTACAGTGGCACAAGACATGTACATAGTCACAACTGCTCCGGATATTGAGACAGGAAGATGGCTTGAGCCTTGGAGTTGAAGACCGGCCTGGGCAACAAAGTGAGACCCTTGTCTCAACAATAAATAAATAAATAATCAGTTTTCACTGAATCTGCCTTATTATCAATTTTGCATTCTTTAAGTGGATATTTGAGACCATCCTTAGATATTCAGTTGTTTTCTAAACACCCCATCCCACCCCGGTGTAACTAACATACCTGATTCCTGTGAGCTCTTACCCCACTTTAATTAGCAGAGACAAGAGTATTATTTGATGAGATGAGTCAAAAGTATTTGTCTTGCCCATTGCGGAGGTACATGCCTGTAATCCAAGTGACTGGGGAGACTGAGGCAGGAGGCTCAGGAGTTCAAATTTAGCCTCAGCAACTCAGTGAGTCCCTAAGTAACTCAGCGAGACCGTAAGTCTAATATAAGAAAGGGTCGGGGATGTGGCTCTAAGCGTCCCTGGGTTCAATCCCTGGTACAAAAAAAAAAAAAGAATTTGTCTCACTGGGACTCCATTCCGGTTAGGTATTAAATGAGAATAGGGGAATAATAGAAAACATGACTGAAAAAATAATTTGTATCTGGTACAGAAGGATCCTTAAAAGACTAAGTAAGGTTTCTTTGTACAGTTTATCAACCTGTAAGAATTTGGATTTAATTCTGCAGAGAATTTTGCAAAAGAGTGGTATCATTTGAACTGCTTGTTTAGGAATGTTGATAAAGCAGTGGTGTGTTGGAACCATTGTTGTTGCAAAGCCAGGATGTGGCAAGAATCCATTTGAATGCCATTAGAATGGTTCACACGTAAGATCATGAGGCCTTCAGTTACGCCTATTCATCCTTTAAGACTTTAAGTCTTAATGCCACACCTCTTCCTTGCCACCTTGAGTTAACTCTTCCTTCTAGGTATTTGCATACTATCTTGTGCCTTGTGGTATCACTGTGCTTATCCCCATTTTGTTCTTTTTGTATGTCTTCTTTTGTTTGCTCCTCAGTTATGCTTTTAGATCTTTAGGGTAGGTACAGCTATAATACTAGTCTTAAGAATTACCAGTACCTACCAAAGAAACATTTTCTTCCATTTGTTGTTAAGACAAGATGTGACTGCCAAGAATATTTAATAATCTGGATGTATACTGTGCAATAAAATAGTCATGAACTGTATGGGTTATTTAAGTTTAAATGTAGCTTAGTTAATGTTAAATAAAATTGGGGACTGGGAGTACGTATAGTTTAGTGGTAGAGCACTTACCTAGGACATACGAGGCCCTAAGTGTGATCCCCAGCACAGTATGAAAAAGATTACAAATCCAGTGCTCAGTTCTGTGTAACTCAATGCTACTGTGTTGGACAGTGCATAAAAAGTCTACGTATAGTGCTAGATTGTAGGAGAGAGGATAGTATTGGGGAACTCATGAACAGGTGTATTTCAGTAATTTATCACGAGTCTTTTTTTTGTACTGGGATTTGAACCCAGAGGCACTTAACCACTGAACTCTACATCCCAGACCTTTATTTTTTGAGACAGGGTCTCTCTAAGTTGCTTAGGCCCTCGATAAGTTGCTGAGGCTGGCCTTGAGCTTGCAATCCTCCTACCTAAGCCTCCCAAGTCACTAGGATTAAAGGTGTTCACCACTGCACCTGGCTTTTTTCTCTTTTTGTGAGATGGGATCTTGCTTTGTGGCCCAGCCTGGCCTGGGACTCCTGGGCTGGAGTGATTCTCCTACCTCCACTTACTGATCAACTAGGACTATCATCGTGTGCCACCACACCCAGTTTAATTTTTTTTAAAATATAAATTCTATGAAGTATTCAGAAATTATTTACTAGTAAGCATTAAGACATTTGTTATTTTTAAAAGTTAAAAAGTATTTTATTTAGGGCTGGGGATGTGGCTCAAGTAGTAACGTGCTCGCCTGGCAGTCATGAGGCATTGGGTTTGATCCTCAGCACTATATAAAATAAAATAAAGATACTGTGTCCACCTAAAACTAAAAAATAAATTTTAAAAAAAGTGTTTTGTTTAGATTTTTTTTTTCTTTTTTCTTTTTATTTTTTTGGTGGTACTGGAGTTTGAACCCAGTGCCTCATGCATGCAAGGCAAGCACTTCACCAACTGAGCTATATCCCCAGTTCCCTTTTGTTTAGATTTTTAAAAATTTGTTTTAATTATTAAAAATTATACATGCCGGGCTGGGGATGTGGCTCAAGCTGTAACACGCCCGCCTGGCATGCACGGGGTGCTAGGTTCGATCCTCAGCACCACATACAAATAAAATAAAGATGTTGTGTCCACTGAAAACTAAAAAATAAATATTAAAAAAAAAACCTCTCTCTCTCTCTCTTTAAAAAAAAAAAAAATTATACATGCCCTGGTAAGAAAAGGTTCTTAGGTGTTTCTTGTTTCGTTTCTAACAAAAGCCATATTTTAAAATAGATGCTGATTGAAGTATGTTTTTAAAAATTATAATGTGTCCATATTTTCTTTTCCTTTTTCCCTTTTTGAGATACTGGGGATTGAATCCAGGCTCGCTCTACCACAGAGGTATATCCCCAGCCCCTTTTACTTTGAGACAGGGTCTCCCTAAGTTGCAAAGGCTGACCTTGAACTTTTGATTCTCCTGCCTCAGTCTTCTGAATTGCTGGCTTTACAGGTATTCACTGCCACACCTAGCTGGTGCCAGATTTTCATCTCAGATCACACCTTCATAAATTTTATTTTTTGGTCAAAAAATGAATTATTATTTAGCTTAGATAAATCCTAAATATTTTAAAAGTAAAGGTCACATTTTAACGTATATTTTATCAGTTATTCTTTTTACATATTATCCAGAGTTTGTTTTTTTTATTGCTAAACAGTTCATTAATAATGGAAGTTATTTATAATGGAGCTATTTCTTGTAAAGTATAATCCATTTGAGAAGTTAGGGGACCAGAGGTATTCTTTTAAAAAATATATTCTTTTACTAAACAAGGGAAATAGGGATCATTAGTTCTTTATTTTATATTTCAGGTAATATCTCCTAGCTGTAATGATGACATCACAGTGAAAAAGGATCAGTGTTTAGTTCGATCATTTATCGATTCTAAATTGTAAGTAATGAATCACTTAATAATTTTACATGGGAGAATAAAAAGTAGAATCAGTAATAGACCCACTTCACTGTGTTTTTATTTTTAAAATTCTAATCACTTATTAACTGAGAAGTTATTATAAGTTTTGAGTTTTTGTAATGTAGGGTATTTTTTACTGATATGAAAACAATATTAAGAAAATGTTATTTTCTAAATAAAGCAAGGCATTGATTTATCTTTAATTGTAGAACTATTTTTATCATGACCATTTCATATTATGAACTATGAACTTATTTTTAATAGAGTTTATAGTACTAGAATAATTATTTTGACTTTCTGATTAAAAACCAGACTGTTGGAAACTTCCCTAAGTTTTCCCTCAGTTTTTTTCTTTCTTTTTTTTTTTAAAAAAAGGAGAAATTTAATGCATACATTTATTAAGTATAATTCTCCAAAAAAATTTAATACCATAATATATCTCATAGTAAAGATACTTAAGTATTAGTTTTGAGTAATTTTTTTTAAATTAAAATTAGTTAACAATTAAGAAATATTGAACATTAAAGTAAGCATCTGTTTCAGTCAGCTTTTTCACTGCTGTGATTAGAAGACCTGACAAGAACAATTTTAGAGAAGGAAAAGTTTATTTGAAGGCTCATGGTTCCAGGTGTCTGTGTCCATAGGCAACCAGCTCCATTCTTTGGGGCTTGAGATGAGGCAGAATATCATGGCAGAAGATTGTGGCAGAGGGAAAGAGCTCACATGATGATTAGAAAGCAGAGAGACTCTACTCACCAGATGCAAAATATATTCCCCCAAAGCATGCCTTCAATGATGCACCTCCTCCAGCCACAACTTATCCACCTTCAGTTACCATTCAATTAATCCTATCAGGGGATTAATTCACCAGTAGGGTTAAGGCTCTCGTAACCCAATCATTTCTCCTTTAAACCTTCTTGCATTGGCTCACATGTGAGTTTTCTGGGTATACCTCACATCCAAACCATAACAGCATCACTATCTACAAGTGTTGGAAATATTATGCTTATTATCAGTTTCCCTGCACTATCTGTAGGAGGGTTATATGGATTTAAGGCTCTCAAATTAGTGGTACTTTGAGTATATAAAACTTCAGAAATAAGATACTAGCTTTGCTTGTATTCTCTCTGATCCTTTATTAAAGATGGGGATATGCATGGTCTTAGACTTTTAAAACACTTTTATAAGCAAAATAAATTTGATTTGGGGTTTTATATTTTTCATTTTTTAATATAAACTACTGAAGTCATAAATTTTATTTAATAAGTGGTTTTCCTCCCCTTTATTTTTCTGTTATTAGTTATTCTATAGCAAGGAAAGATATTAAGGAAGTAGACATTCTCAATCTACCAGAATCAGAGCTCTCCACTAAACCAGGTAAAATAGGAGGAATCAATCCCTTATTTCAAAATGAATGAAATCCCTTATTTCTCAATGAATAAAGCCAGATCGAATATTCTCGGGTGCCCTTTTTACTGTTTAGAGTTGATTATCGCTCTTATCTGATGGCAGAGTTGCTTTTTTTTTTTTTATTAAATGGTGTTGGCTTTGAACCCAGGGCCTCATGGGTGCTAGGCAACTGCTCTACCACTGAGTCACATCCCCAGACCTTAATGGTAGTTTTTTAAATGTATGGATAAAATATTCGATTCATAATTTTTAGAAAAGTTTAACTTTAATATTTTGCCATTAAGATTTCTAACAGTACTCCCTAAAGTAATAACAAACATTTATATAACATTATAGCTTAAGAAATATGTTCAACCTTACCGCATCATTTTATACATGCTGAATTTGAATTCAGATCTTCTGATTCTGAATGTCATGCCTTTTCTGTCATTCTGTGCTGTTAATTCCATAGCAACTGCTGAAGTACATTTTCACTCGTAGGGCTACAGAAAGCAAGTGTCTTCTTAAAAACTAGAATTGTTCCTGATAATTGGAAAATGGATATAAGTGAAATCCTTGAGTCATCCAGTAGTGATGATGAAGATGGTCCTGCTGAAGAAAATGATGAAGAAAAGGAAAAGGAAGCCAAAAAGGAAGAAGAGGAGGTGGTAGGTATAATTTCATGTTTATAGCAAATGTGAACACTTTTAATGCTCTCGAGTAATAATAATACCGTCATGTATTTACCCTCTGTTCTAGATTCCCTGTCACTTGTTTTATCCATTTCTAGCTCAAGTTGATTTGAGGGTTGAGGGAGCTTTTTGGCTCATAACTCAGTATGTAAATCAGCACTAGTTTTGGGGGGGTTAGAAGTGACAAGGAAGTGTTTATCAAGTTTTATCCACAAATTAATATTTGTTTTCTTAGGGTTTTTTCCAAATAACCCAGGAGGAAAGAAATGTACTTTTTAAGTATTTTATTTCATTTAAACTGTTGCCATATGAAATAACTGTTATCCTACTTTAAAGATGAGGTGAGATTCATAAAGGTTAAGTAACTTTTCCAAGGTGTCACAATTGAAATGTGGAGGATAGGGATTTGAACTCAAGTCTGGTTAGAGAATCCTGGTAGGGGTTAAGAGATAACCTCAAAATCTTTTTCAGGGTAAAAAATTCTATCCAAACCCGAAGAAAAGTTCATTTGGCTATTTGAGAAAATATAGAAAAAAAATTTAGCTTATATTTTACAAGTATAAATGATTTTCTTTGTAATACTGCCATGTCATTTAAAATACAATTGTAGGAAATCATCCATAGAGTATCACATAATTGCTTATATGAATATTGTCTACTTATTCAACAGTATTGTTAAATATAACAGATTGTCCAGTACATTTTTGGATGTTATTAGGTCAAGGGGCTTAGGGGCAAAACAAAGAGAATGAATTTATTGAAAAAGGACTTATTTGAGCATGTGAAATATTTGCCTGGAAAAATGTGGGATGTTTGTTTCTGTTTTACATATACAAATATGTATCTGTGAAATATCATGAGTATAATTATATACGCTGTTTCTTTCCTTTTACTTCCTCTGCAGTATTTGGTTTTTTACACTCTGAAATCAGAATGGCGGTTCATACTTACAGGCTGCCTACAGAGTTGCCATAGTAACATGCTGTTGGTTTTAAGTGAGCATGCTCGGAAAGACAGGAAGGTTTAGCAGAGGCTTGGCAGGTTGCCAATGGAGGTTTGCCAGATGCTTTGAAATGGGCTGTCTTTCTTTTCCTTTCATGTAATGTCTGATTTTTATGTGGAAGAGAATGTAAGTAGTGCTGTATAACCCTGCGGATGCTATGCCCTAAGAGGGAAAGCAAATATTTGCAAGTCAGACTGAAAAATGTCCAGACCCTCTACTGATTAAGTAGAAGGGGAATCTAACCATTTTGCATTTGAAAGAAAATGCAGCATATAGGTAAGATTTTTTTTTGTATATTTAGTTATCATTTTGATTGCCAAAAATCGGGTTAAATAAGTATTTTAGGTATTGAGGATGTGGCTAATATGGTCGGGTTCATAACCAAGTGTAATTGTTTCTTGTAAAAAAGACAGTAGGAGTCTATTTTTAGACTATCAGAAGATGAAAGCTATTTTTCTCAAATATAAGATAGATTTTGAAATGAAAATGATAATGAGACAGTTTGGCAAAATTCTGGATTTAAAGACTGAATATTAAATGTGAATTTTGTGTTTTATCTGTATTTATTTATGGATTATATGTTTTCAAGATAAATAGGCCACATTTTCAGGGTGTGAACTGTTGCAGCCTGTGGTTTAGCTTTTGTTTTTTTAATTAACATTAGTTAGGGTCTTTTACTGTCGAATATTGAAAGAAAGATTAGTCTAATTTATTTTTCTTAATACTTTTAATTGGTGTCCCTTCCAGAATGCATTTTCTCTACCCCCCAAAAAATCCTGAAATTTTAAACAAAGAGGGTAAAAGAGCTTTGTAGGAAGTTGTAGGGGGTGGCTATAAAATAGTAAATAGAGCTTGTATTACAATGATTATTTTTGTAAATATTATGTTTTATTCAAGCTGTGAGGAAATGTTACTAAAGAATGAAAGCAGAGGTAAAAAGCTCTGTTACCTATTGTTTGTAGGTAATAGTAGGGAAATTTTAAAAGATAAGGATGATTAAAAAGTTAGTATCTTAAAATGTTTTACTTAAATTATGAATCTGTTAAAATTAAGTGAACCTGGATGGTTTTAAACTACTAAAAAATAACAGCAAAATTACAAAATATAGACACTGATTTATATTATTTCCAATTATTTTTCAGATTGTCAGTTTCATAGCAAGCTTTTTTAAATTCCTTAATATAAACGAATTTCTCTTTTCTCTGGCCATACAAGTAGGTTTTCTTGAGTAAGATTTTGGTTGCTTTAGAAAAAAAATCAGCTGCATTTCTTGCTCTTGGATTTAAGATTTAGTTGCTGAATCATTCTAACTTGTCTTCAACAATAATTTTTAAAATTTAAATATTGTTAAACTGAAAAGCACTTTTAGCCTATACACAACAAATAAAAAATGAATATTGTATAAAATGAATAATCTGATAAGCCAGGGCCTACCTGGCTTAGTCATTATGGGCCTTCACCACATAAGTGAGGCTAAGCTGTTGTATCATGTTACATATCATAAGTCTTTCCAAAAGGTAGTGTTGCTATGCTTTTCATGAAGATTTAATGTTGCTCTTCAGTGATCAGAAAGATCTTTTATAATATTCTATAAACCACTGTGACAATACTGTAGCTGTCATTTGATGTTTGTAGTACAGCAAGCAATTTTACGCAGTAGAATCATACAAGTGTTAGATATTTCTGCAGTGGTAATTAGCAGTAGGCATTGTTTTTATGTTTGATACTTTAGGTGCTCTAACCTAAGAGTAAGTAATAAGGACATTTGAGATTCTATGATTTTATTATGGAAGGGTATCTTGTTTTTACTTCACATTATCTTGAATTCCAAAGCATTTGGTAGTTCAGTATTAGAGTACAAGAAATATATCTCATACTGTTACTGATTGGGAAGACTTGAGGATCTGGCAGAAAGTAGGTCCTATGTGTATTAATGATTTTAAATTTCAACTTATTGACACTTATGTTGAAAAAAGCCCTAGAGAATATTTTTGTGGGTGTTGCCTAAATGTCTTTGTTCAGAAAATTTTATATTAGAAAAAATATACTGTAATTTCTTTTGAGCTTTGAAATTGATTGAAAAGTCCAGGAAAACACAAGTAATGATATCAATTATTTATTTACTCTTTACATATTTATTCTGAATAAAATATAGGGGGATTTTCTAAGGGTAAAATAAATGCATGGCTATTTAAAAGATTGATTATCAAGGGGAATTTGATGGACTTAGCCTTTTAAATCCTTATGGTTTGCTATAAGTAGGCTTATATGTTGGGTAATTTTTAAAAACCTTCTATGAATTTATGTTTAGTAATGAAAATTGAAATTTAGTGAATTTTTTTTAAGAACTGCTCTTTTAGTGTACATGTATTAATACTCATTTCTCTAGTCTTTTGACTTTTCTAGGGATGATTGTTTCATCTAATGTCTGAGACTCTACTCCATTATTGTAAAAATCATAAGTGCTTGCATTTTTTAATTCAAGGAAACATGAATATTTTTTGATGTTTAATCCAGTGTTATTTGTGTATTAATCTATGCCTTTTGCAGACTGTAAAGGCATTTGATAAAGTAATCGTTCAGGATCACTTTGGGTATGAACTTAGAGTAAATGTTTGATAACTCGGGGAAATCATGCAAAGTCAGTAAAACTTTAAAGATTTTAAATGTAATGTCAATATTTTATCTAATAATTCAATCTGCCAATCATCAGATGTTTTTAAGCTGATCCTAAAAAGCCAAATTTCAAGGAATAATTGAGATTTTTAGCTTTCATTCAAATTTAAGAACTTACTTGCTAAAGTCTTAAATGTACTAATCAAGCTAACAAAAATGCCTTAATGAGTTTAGCAAAATCTGTCTTCTGATGCAAGCATAAAACTCTAACCAAATTAAGGTTATCTTGTCAGATTTAGAGTATTGCACATTTTTTGTATTAAAAACACTTTTCATTCAATATATTTTATGGTTTTGGTGATATTAGAGGGTTGACTGATTAAAAACTTGGATTTGATAGTGTCCAAACCACATCTTGATGATTAAATGTATGTACCTTTTCAAATGGGGAAAATAATTACTAGACTCAGTGAACTCTGATACAATATAAATGTCATGTAATCATTTATTGTAGGCTGACTTTGTTAAACTAAAACAGTGTTTTACTATGAATGTGTCACATATCATGTGATCTTTGAAATTTTCTGTAAGTATATAACAGGAAAGAATGGTACTAATTTAAATTATACGATTATCAAATTTCATAGGGCCTTCAGTACTATTGGGCAATCCCCAGCTTCTGTAGTCAAATCTTTATTTCTTCCATTAAATCAACAACCCTATTCCCACTCCACTTCAACTTCGGGAAGAAACTAGGAGCTTCAAATGTTGTCCACGCTCCTTCCCAAGGAACATTTGACAACATATTGTCTTCTCTGTAAGAGAGGTATCTCAGTTCATGCTCTGAACTTCTTTCTTTCAGGAAATCTTAGATAATCAACTCTTTTTTTCTCACCAATATCTTTAACCCATATCCTTGTTTTGTATCCTCAGCAGCACCTTAAAACATGCCTGTCTTAACCTCCCTCCATATTCCCTCTGCCAGTCTTCTGGAAGCCTCTACTGTCCCTCCAGGTACTATGCTCTTTCCTCACCCTTGTGGCTGGATTGCTGAGCTGTATTTACTGTTTGAGCTATCTATACTGTTCCTGAACTCTTATTCACTCTTAATTCATTGTGGTGTGTCTCTTCTCACCACAACCTGAACAACTTTAGTAAGGTTACCAGTGACCACCAACAAACTTTTGTACTAAATCAAAATTTTTTTATTTCAGTTCATTTGTCTACTAGCAGGATTCAACAGCCCTGACATACCTTTTTTAAGACACTTGACACACATGACATTACCCTTTTTTCCCCATTTACTTCCTAACCAAACACTATAATGGCTCCAAATCTGTATGTGCATCAAAGATGT